TAAGATTTCAAGATTCGAAGACTTTAGGAAGTTTTTATATTTTTAGATTTTAACATTCTAAGTTCTAAGATTTTAAGATTTTGAGATTCTAAGATTGATTGTTAGATATTAAATTAAGATTTTAAGAATCTAAGACTCTAGGATTTTGAGATTTCAATCCAGGCCATTTTCCATCCAATTCCATCCACTTTAGATTTTAAGATTTTCAGGTTGCACGTTTTCGGCAACATTGGCCCGACTTAGGGGACAACATCCCCAGCATCCCCCGCATCGCCAGCATGCATAACATCATCCGCATCATCCGGGATGATGCTGGCAATGCTGGGGGTGTTGTCCAGTATTAGGCACCCCCTAAAAATGCTCGTTTTTGGGCGCTGCGGGGAGATGCTACAAAAATCGCCTAAACCAATCCGCGAATCCTTCGCCCCTTATAAGGAAGGCCCAGCCCAAAACGTCCATGGTCGGAGCATGGTCGGCGGCATGGGGCGCGCGGCCTTATACCTGAAGGTAAGCCCTACCGGGCTTTGGCCTGCGGCCCGATCACGTCCGGTGGCCGGATTTACACGCTGACGCGACACAGCCGGCCACCGGGCACCCCTTCCCGTTCTTTGATTTCCTTTCCCTCCAATTGAATGAACTTTTCCTTTGCATGTCTTCCCTGACAGTTTCCTGGCATGTCCCTTCACTTCCACTTCACTGCCGTTTCAGCTCCCTTCATTTCCTTGAAGACTCCTTTATTCGCATTCTGTCCGGTCCCCTTCACGTTCTGCCCTTGCATTTTCCTGCATCTCGGTTTCTCTCCAGTGCCCTCCCCATTTTTCGTGCCATTCCTTTGACTTTCATTTTTTTCACTTCCAGTCACTCCTGCTTCCTTGCATTTCCCCTCAACCCCTTGTTTCGCATCGCCAGCATGCATAGCATCATCTGCATCATCTGGAATGATGCTGGCAATGCTGGGGGTGTTGTCCAGTATTAGGCACCCCCCAAGAAGCGCTCGTTTTGTGACTCTGCGGGGAGATGCTACAAAACTCCTCAAAAATCGCCTAAACCAATCCGCGAATCCTTCGCCCCTTATAAGGGAGGGCCCAGCCCAAAACGTACCCGCATGGTCGGAGCATGGTCCGCGCATGGTCGGCGGCATGGGGCGCGCGGCCTTATACCTGAAGGTAAGCCCTAACGGGCTTTGGCCTGCGGCCCGATCACGTCCGGTGGCCGGATTTAAGGGCTGCCGCCCAGTGCCGCCGACCCCTGGATTTAGTTGTGGTTTTGGAGCCACAAAAAACAGTGCCCTTGGTTTTGGTTTCTTTGGTTTCTTTTGGGTGAAATGTTAGTGGCCCCAAAAGGCTAATCTTGTATTTCAGGGTTTTGTTTGCATTTTTGAAGACACGAACAGGGACTGTGACTTGCTGGGCAACAAATGATCCCTGTCATGATCACTATCATCGTAGCATCCTCTGCATTACCAAGGGTGCCTAGCGATGATCATGACTACGCATCACTATCGAAACGGCACCTCGCCTCAGATGCCATTTGTGTCATTGAGATTTGGAGTCCTGCCTTGATGATAATCATCACTACGCATCATTCGCAGCATCTGTGGCAATCATGAGGATAATCATCACTACGCATCCCCAGCATCTCCAGCAGCGATGATCATAATCATGACTACGCATCACTGTCGAAACGGCACCTCGCCTCAGATGCCATTTGGGTCATTGAGATTTGGAGTCCTGCCTTGATGATAATCATCACTACGCATCATTCGCAAGAAACCAAAGAAACCAAAACCAAGGGCAGTGTTTTTGGTTGCTCGAAAACCACAACTAAATCCAGGGGTCGGCGGCACTGGGCGGCAGCCCTTGAACAAGAATGAGATGATGATGAGCATCATGATGATGATGAGAAGAGCGATGACATCATAATAAGGATGATCATGATGATGATTATGATGATAACTATCATCGTAACACCCTTTGCATCACCAGTACTGCCTAATAAGAGATGATAATGACCGTGATGATAATGATGACAAGGATGAGGACTGTGATGATAACTATCATCTGCGTCATGATGATTATCATGTCAGTTCATCATCATCATCATCATCAGCATCATCACGGTGCTTATCATCATCATCTTCTTCGTCATCGTCCTTATCTCTTTTTATGTACGTTTCAAGTGTCCCGAGCCGGCACTGGTGATGCCGAGGATGCTACGATGATAGCTATCATCACAGTCCTCAGTATCATCACGGTCATCACCATCTCTTATTAGGCAGCACTGGTGATGCAAAGGGTGTTACGATGATAGTTATCATCATAATCATCATCATGATCATCCTTGTTATGATGTCATCGCTCTCATCATCATCATGATGATCATCATCATCTCATTCTTGTTCTTATTCTTATATGCATTTCAAAAGTAACGTTAGACCCCATTGGCAATGCAGAGGATGCTACGACGATACTTATCATCACAGTCCTCATGGTTACATCTCTTATTAGCCGGCACTGGTGATGCCGAGGATGTCATCATCATCTCTCATCTTGTTGGGCAGCACTGGTGATGCAAAGGGTGTTACAATGATAGTTATCATCATAGTCATCATCATAATCATCCTGATTGATGTCATCGCTCTTCTCATCATCATCATCATGATCATCATCATAGGCAGCACTGGTGATGCAAAGGGTGTTACGATGATAGTTATCATCATAATCATCAGCATATTATGATGTCATCGCTCTTCTCATCATCATCATTATGATCATCATCATCTCATTCTTGTTCTTATTCTTTTTTGTATTTCAAGAGTAACGTTAGACCCCATTGGCAATGCAGAGGATGCTACGATGATAGTTATCATCACAGTCCTCATCCTTATCATCACTCTCTTCATGGTTATTATCATCTCTTAAAAGCCGGCACTGGTGATGCCGAGGATGTCATCATCATCATCTCTTATTAGGCAGCACTTGTGATGCAAAGGGTGTTACGATGATAGTTATCATCATAATCATCATCATGATCATCCTTACTATGATGTCATCGCTCTTCTCATCATCATCATGATGATCATCATCATCTCATTCTTGTTCTTATTCTTTTTTGCATTTCAATAGTAACGTTAGACCCCATTGGCAATGCAGAGGATGCTACGACGATACTTATCATCACAGTCCTCATCCTTATCATCACTATCATCATGGTTATTATCATCTCTTATTAGCCGGCACTGGTGATGCCGAGGATGTCATCATCATCTCTCACTGGTGATGCAAGGTGTTACGATGCATAATCATCATCATGATTCATCACAGTCCTCATCCTTATCATCACTATCATCATGGTCATCATCATCTCTTGTTAGTCGGCACCGATGATGCCGAGGATGCTACGATGATATATCTTTGTCATCGTAATCATCATGGTCATCATCGTCTCTTAGTAGCCGGCACTGGTGCTGCCGAGGATGCTACGATGATCCTCAGCATCACCAGCAGTCATCATGATAATCATGTCCACGCATCTTCTGCATCTCAAATCGGGTCTAACGGGACACTTGAAACGTATATAAAAAAAGAGACATGGTAATCATCATGACGCATCCTCAGCATCACCAGCAGTCATCATGATAATCATGTCCGCGCATCTTCTGCATCTCAAATCGGGTCTAACGGGACACTTGAAACGTACATAAAAAAAGATAAGGACGATGACGAAGAAGATGATGATAAGCACCGTGATGATGCTGATGATGAACTGACATGATAATCATCATGACGCATCCTCAGCATCACCAGGAGTCATCATGATAATCATGTCCACGCATCTTCTGCATCTCAAATCGGGTCTAACGGGACACTTGAAACGTATGTAAAAAAAAAGATAAGGACGATGAAGAAGATGATGATGATGAGCACCGTGATGATGATGCTGATGATGATGATGATGAACTGACATGATAATCATCATGACGCATCCTCAGCATCACCAGCAGTCATCATGATAATCATGTCCGCGCATCTTCTGCATCTCAAATCGGGTCTAACGGGACACTTGAAACGTATATAAAAAAGATAAGGACGATGACGAAGAAGCTGATGATGATGAGCACCGTGATGATGATGATGATGATGATGATGATGATGATGATGATGATGAACTGACATGATAATCATCATGACGCATCCTCAGCATCACCAGCAGTCATCATGATAATCATGCCCGCGCATCTTCTGCATCTCAAATCGGGTCTAACGGGACACTTGAAACGTATATAAAAAAAAGATAAGGACGATGACGAAGAAGATGATGATGATAAGCACCGTGATGATGCTGATGATGATGATGATGATGATCCCTGCGCCCAAGCCTAAATGAGTCCCCTGTGTGGCAGCTACAATGGGCCAGAGCGGGGCGTTAAGCCCCAATCTTCAGGGGCCGGGGGGGGCAGTCATCATGATCATCATGTCCACGCAGCTTTTGCATGTCAAACCCTCTCTAACGCCACAATTGAAACGTATATCAAAAAATAAGGATGATGACGAGGATGATGATGTTGAAGGATATAGAAATGATGATGATGATGATGTTGACGATAAGAATGATGAAGGATCATATCGATGATGATGATGATGATGATGATGATGATGATGATGATGATGATGATGATGATGATGATGGGCATCCGTATGATGCCAGTAGTCATATGCTTGCCTCAAAGATTAATCCATGCGCTTGTACTGCAACCACCCTTCCCGTGCGCCTCCCCCTTTGAGGAGAAGGGGTCGGCGGATTCCGCTGCAAATGTGACATGGAACACGAAAAGCGGGTCCCCCAAAAGGAGGTATGTTCCAAAATAGGGGAGTCCCTTTTCGGGATGGCATTGAAGGGAAACTATCAGGAAACCTAAGGAAACTAGCTATTCGTGAGGTCCCCATGTTAAGACACTCCGAAACATGGGGAAACTGACCAGAATCAAAAGCAACCTTCAGGCAGCTGGACGACTTTGCCTCCGTCTATGAAGCCGGCTGCAAGCTTGACACGGTGTCTCAGTGGCAGTGAGACGAGTAGTGACTTCTCGGTTTCTTCAGAGTAATCCTTTTTTTGCAAACTCTCCCAGCCGGACGACCCTGGTCCATGCCATGAATTCTGGCGACATGTGTTTCAAATGGAGCCTTGTGCCAGGTGGGATTTCTGTCCTTTGAGCGAATTTCCGACGGCAGCGCCTTGCGGTTTCACCATGCCAACATCACGGGCAGCCGACTTGACTTAGCAGGCAGCCATGCCAGTTGTGGCCGTTGTAGCATGTCCTGATTGTGCACCCTCCACCTGAGCTGTCAAGACCAGTGCTTGGATGAGAAAGGGCAAAACTAAGAGAGTGTTGTTGATGTGTTCTAGATTACTTGCCCAGAGCATAAATTGGGACTTTGCTCTTGAACCAAACAGCCGCCATTACGGATATAAGTCTCTCTGTGGGCACAGCTCTTCCCATCCCCTTTACAAAGCAACCCAGGGGAATGATTTATTGACCAACATGGCTGACACAGGGGACATGGCAAGCACGGCAAAGATGCGTAACCCGGGCAGGGCTAGCAGAGCTCACCCACGATGAGTGTCCTTTGCTGGTTGGTATGGGAATTGGTGCAGATTTCTTCACGGATCTTGGTATGCTTGTTATGCGTTGTTCTTTGAGTCTGTTCATGAAAGTTGGGGGGGCGGCCGCAACAGCACAACGTTTTTTTTTTTTTTTTTTTTTTTTTTTTTTTTTTTTTTTTTTTTTTTTTTTTTTTTTTTTTTTTTTTTTTCGGGTTGTGAGGAATTTTAACAAGGTTGTTCCTTTGCTCTCTCGTCGGACTTGCACAGATTCGAAGCAGCAAAAACACTCCTTTTTTGGGGGATGTTCGATTCAAGAAATGCGAGACTGCAGTCAAGGAAGGGGTAGCCGAAGCTCAAACTGAACGGGAATGTCAAACTTGCAATGCCGATGGGGTTGAATGTGCCGTTTAGGACGGCATGAGGAATTATTCTACAGCATTGACCATCATTTCTTTACAGTAAGGCGATGACATTGCACCAAGTTAATGCTCTCAATTAAAGTTGGTGACTCACCGACTTCCCAGTGTCACTCGGGATTGCAATATTGAGGTCACATTGAATTGTAGTAGATGTACAGTAGCACGTAGCACCAGTTGTTTACCCAGGTGGTGAATTGGTGACCAGAACGATGAGGTGCTTTGAAGCTTGCGCCCGAGATGCTTCAAGCAAAAACATCCCGCCTGCCCAAAGGTGTTGCTTGCTGGTTTGTCTGTGCGTGTTTGGTTGTACATGTTGGTTTGTCTGGGCTTGGACCGCCATCAATTTTGCCAAGATCCGGTAGTGTCAACTTCGGACAGTCCGGCGGACCATACCATATATCTGAAAATACAATCCACCTAAGATGCGTTCCTTGAGCACTAAAAGAGGAACCGTTGACTAGTCCTCCGGATGTGCGTGCCGCAGGCGCCCTAAATCGCACGCCGCAGCAGCTGCGCCCCAGCGCGGGTGTGCATCAAGCGCTGGAGTTGGCGCGTCGGAGGGCGAACAGCGACGCTCGGCCAGGTCCAGGTAAGTAGCTGCATGTCTCGGGGTTTGTTGCATTAGATATATATATATATATTATAAGTACACATGTACTTATATATATATATATACATCCCCTCGTACGGGTATATCTACATCCCCTTGTACGGGTGTTCAACCGTCACACCTTGGGACATTTCACAGCAGATGTTGAAAGGTGAAGTTAAGGGGGTCGGCCAGAGCCTGCTCCAGTACTTTCGGGGCTATGTTCCGCGCTATGATTGATTTGGAGACCTCGCACATTCTTCTTGATCTCGTTTACGAAGCACACGATCATCACGAATGGCATGCACTTTGATAGCAAATCACATCTACGAGCACCTACGATGGTCGGTTGCCGGCATCGCTTTCCTGGATGACTTTGATTAGCATGGTTTGCGAATCTGTAGCTAGCCAGCATGGCCACCTGCGAAGAAGCAGTGGCCATATGCGCGATCTGCCGAATCCCGCAAGGTGTCATGCTCCCCCCACATCCGATCGCGTCGAGAACCAGCTATTTGAACCAGAAGTATGGGTTTCAAGAAAGCTGCAGACAATCAACACGCTGCCCTTCCGTTCTTATTGGCCCTATCTTTCCTTCTCCTGCCCTTTCCTCTATTTGCTTTTTGCGCTGAAAATTATAGAGAACCATAGCGTGAAACAGCAGGCTGCGAAAGACGGTGCAAGGACGCACAGAACGCACCGACTGCCGGGAGTTGGAACAATGGCGTAGAACGAGTCATGTGTGGCTACGCTGCATCATTGCATGTCCTGTCATGCATTGGCGTGTGTGCCAACCTTGTTTTTGTAAGCGGCTTGTGTTGCATGTAGATTGCCAGTTGTTGTCTTTGCATCCCGCCGCATCCCAGATTTGTTTTTAGAAGCAGCACACAATTGACAAGGGGAGGAGATCAGATTACTGTAGCCCGATCACAAGCACTCCCAACCGCCCTCCCGAAAACGCCTCAAGTTTGTCGCTGCCATCGATAGGGTTCTGCACTTGGCTTGCCCAAAGACTTAAACCCAGCCCAGCTTGGCTGTTTGTACTCGCGAAGGGATGGCATGTTGTTCCTCTTGCTCTGACCTGGTCGGATGAAGAGAACTCCCGGCGCAAGCCCAGATTCTGAGCGACCGACCAATTAATGGCCGATTTATCGTGAACTGATACGATCATGATACTTAGAGGTTGAGATTCCTTGTAGAGCAAAGTCCCCGCTTTGCTTTGTTTCGCCTTGCTGTGAAACGAGCTAAACACGAATCTTATTCAAGATCAAACCAATGGTGGCATTGCAGGGTATTGCAGTGAGCGAGCCAAGTGGAAACTGGACCCAAACTGGTTTACCTACTTCCCGTTCACTGCTTGGTCCTTGCACCAGGGAACGGCCCACTCGTGTGCAGCGTGGGCAGGGGCCAAGATATACCGGCCATTTGGTCAGGGCCCAAAAGCACATGGCCCAATGGCAACTCATTTGGCCTTCAGGATGATGTCCTGGGTTGCGCTTCTGACCACTACCACTTGGCCTCGCCCTTGCAGGAGAGTGGCTCATTGTATCTCGGACGGCGGTTGGTTCATGGGGGAGCTACTCCACAGTGCTCTTGTTGGGTTTCTTGGCTGTGGGCAATCATGAGTTACATGCTTGTGTTGATTGAACATTTGTCCCAGGTGGTCTTTTTACATGAATACTGTTCTCCCGGGCACGCTCATCAATGCCAGCGAGCAGATTGCCGTGGTGGGGACTGGGGCACTGACATACGACATCTATGCTGGACACTCTGACCTGTGCAGTTGACAGACTTTGAACTTTGAACTTTGTAACTTTTTGTCGCCTACCCACAGGTTTCGTGGATTTTGAGCCACTCAGGTGAGTTTCTGGTGGACGATGCCTACACTGCTTCGCCCTACGGCAACTTCTGGCTGATCTTGGAGCAGCTGCCAGGGGCCGATCTGGCGGAGCTGCTGTCCCAGCTGAACCGAAAGCCCCCGACTGGCCGTCCGCGCCGTGCTCGAGTGCCAGACTACGTCAGCTCGGGTGAGCCCCAAAAAGGGAACTTCTATGAGTCTCGGCTGAGCGAAGTGACCCTTTGGTCTGACTTTTGGTTCTTCCTGTTCAAGAAACCCAAGTCTTAGGTCCCGCAAGTCGCTCGTTTTTGTCTTTCCAGGCTCCAAAATTGGTAAGTGAGGATTTGGTGTTCTGTGATTTTGACATGGACATCATCCTGGAGCATTTGGGGAGGATCCGGCATCATCACTTTCAGCCTCGCCTCTACAAGCCAGCACTGAACACTTCCAGTGTTCTGTTGGCTTGGTTCAAGCACCAGCCTTGCTTGAAGGAACTGCATGCTTAGATACAGAGCCGCTTCAATTCAATGTCATGCTTTGCAGCCTGGATGACATGCATTGCATGCATCGGCTGCTTGCTTGGTTGTACATAGAAAATGCTTGGGCACAAAAGCTGGACGGCGCCCGCCAAGACTGAGGTAGAACATGAGCAAGTGCGCCAATAGAACTGAGGTCTCAATGCATGCAGTTGCTTTGGTGGAAGTATCATCGACGTTCGCAAAGCGCTTGCAAGCTGCCAAGCGGCCGGCCGCAATGTTTGGCAAGGATGACAGTTGCAGCAGCCTTGTCCATTCATGGCGTTTGGTAGACTCCTCTAGGTGTTGGTTATGACTCACGTGAGTTCAGGCTTTCTTTACTGCGTGCAAGAAGCAAACAGATGCACAACGAACCAAGGAATGCCTCATTGAGGGCAATCCTGGAGATGCTCAGGCTGGATTCAGACACAGCCATCCAAGACGGCTCAGCATGTGTTACCCCCCCTCCAACTAACACAGCACCAGACATGGGGTCCCTTGAAGAGGAACCAATCTTCCAGGTACCCTTTCAGAGGTGCCATGTTAGTGGAAGGGAGGGTAATCCTGTAAAGTTTGTTCATGGTTGTGGAGTCTAGGGCTCAAGCGCCGCTTTTTGCGAAGGTAGTCGGTAGTTCCCTAGGTGATGAAGCAATCTTGTCAGGGGTGGTTTCGAAACACACGACCTGCTTCTAGATGGTCTCAGTTTTGACCTCTCACAGCAGCAGTCAGGAAGCTTCATCGTCGTGTAGGGAGTGAGATTGTGAATCAGGGCTGCGATGTTCGCAGTGCGGGCGGTTTCAATTGAAACGCTCCATTTGTTTTGACTATTGTAATGACGAGCTCACCTGGGGGTAAAACGAGCTCACCCTGATGTAGGTCCTGGACTTGGGAAGCTCTTATTTCAGATTTTTATGGAGGCTTGGAGACATCAACTGGAGAAGTTGCGGAAGGAAGCGGTGATTGAAGAAGAGAAGCAGGCAGGAGTTGAGGCCAACTCGCAAGCAGAGCGAGAAGAATTCGCGAGTGCCCCAAACACGACCCTGGCACTACCGCTGGCGTCCACGACGGAACTCACCAGAGGGTCCACTTCCCTTTCTACCAAACATCACGGAAGACACGCTCGCTCATTTCAAGTGGACTGCAGTCTTCAAAACTCCGGGATTGATAGCTTTAACTAGACTGAAGGGTTTGCCAATCCTTTGGCTTTACACTGTATCGAGAGTTGCTCTTTGAATGCTTAGCCCTTGGTTGCCGCTTTATGGATTGCTGGCAGATGAGGTCCGCCTACGAACACCTCGGCTGGTCCGGCAACAGCTGATCAACTGCAATCGATTTGTTGCTTGCTCGGGGATTGATTCCGGTCAAAACTTACGCTCCCTCCCTCGTGAACCACGAAACAAGGGGACCTCCCTGACTGATACGGTATCTCGCGTTGTTAGTCAAGGGTAGACAAATGGCTGTGGGTCAAAACCAATGGTACCATTTTGGGGTGGGTGAATTCACCCATTTTAGGTGACCTATTTTAGTG